ACAAGAACAGGCAGCCCAGGCACCTTGGGCGGCAACGCAGCCTCTGCTGGCTCCGCTTTCTTATGTTTGTCCTTGTTGTTCTTTTTGTCTTTCTTGTGTTTTTTTGTCGTGCTTCTTGCGTTTTTTCAGCTTCGGCTCCAACGGCGCCTCAGGAGAGTCAGGAGGGCGGGCGGGGGAGATGGCGAGTCTGTCTCCCATTGTGACCACCTGCATCTGAATCCGTGGTCGCGCAAGCACTGCCAACTGGCCCAGCTCCTGTGGTATAATATGACCTGATGGCACCTAATTTGGAAATTCCATGCCGTAGTCGAGCGCATGCTGCTACCTGCTACTGTGCTACGAAATCGGACTGCCCTATCACAGGAAGTCAATGCGAAGGTCTCTTGCCTGCCAGTCCTGAGCCGGAGCCTCAGCCCCCAGCGTGCCGCCGGAAAAGGATAGTCAGACATGCCTTCTGCAATTCAACGACTCTGCAACACACTGTGCAGTGAAGCATTCAAGCAGTAAGCAGGCCTGTTTCCAATCACGTCACCACATGCAAGACATTTTCATGAGCATCAGAGTCACATCGATCATCGTAAGATTTGAACCGACGGACCTACGGTCACCAGTAACTCACCACCGTCCTCTACGTCGGAAGTACCAGGCGCCGCCAGCCACTGAGTCACTGAGTACGGCGTACGGCTGCACAGCTTGGAATCGAATCATTGAAATCCTGTGGTGGCAACAATCAACAATCATAATGGCGTCGGCCTTGTCAGGCTCTGTCACACAAAAGGTATCTCGGTATCTCGCACCAATCACCAGACCGCTTCCCTTCTGGCTTTCCATTCAACAGAATTCCAACCCCCCAGCTGCCCTTCGCCGCTCCGGGCCCAGATCCCCAGTCCACCATAACCCCTCCCTTCCGGCTTCCGGTCCTGCATCCGATTCCATTCCATCGTTCATCTTCATTTGCCTTTGCTCCAGGAAACCAACGAAATCAACAAACTCCATTTGCAAACAATTTCAACGGCATGCGGTATGCGGTGGCGCTCGCAGATATTGTGTGTGGTTGTCCAAGCCCGACCGTTGGCCCCATCTCTCTCTCTCTCTCTCTCTCTCTCTCTCTCTCTCTCTCTCTCTCTCTCTCTCTCTCTCTTCTCTCTGGCTCTCTCGTTCTCTCGCTCTCTTCGCTCTCTCGCCTCGCTTTCTCGCTCTCTCGCTCTCTGGCTCTCTCGCTCTCTCGCTCTCTCGCTCTCTCGCCTCGCTTTCTCGCTCTCTCGCTCTCTCGCTCTCTCGCTCTCTCGCTCTCTCGCTCTCTCGCTCTCTCGCTCTGCTCTCTCGCGG